CCCCCCCCCCTCAAAAAAAAAAAAAACACGAAAAAAAATATACCCACAGAAAAGAAAAAAATAATCAGGGAAGATTCATGCATTAGCTAAGGATGGTTCCTCATTTTGTACCAGCACAACACTCCCACAGCAAATGAGCATGTTCCCGTCATGCACCAGAGGAACGGCAACCATGCACGCTCCCATTCGCTCAATTTTTCGTCAGTGCCTCACTTATACAGGGAGAGATATAGAAGACATGATACGGCAGTAAAAAGAGACCAGAAATATAGAAGGACATTAAAACAAAAAAAAAGAGTTATATACCTTTATATATACATCACCCGTAGACGGTGCTCACAAACAGGAAGCACCAAGAAACACGCATATGTCCCTAGAGGTTCAGCGGGAATCGATATCCATTCACATTCACGTCTCAAAGAAAACCGCCCCGTACAGTTTTCACGTGTATTTTCAGTGTAATTTGATAAGCCACAGGTTGGTACAACAGCCCATGCCGATCCCCTATATGCGGGTGTAGAGAGCAGTCGTGCACGGGAAGTTGTATGACTGCAGCGTAGCGTGGAATTCTGCCATTTTTTCAGCGTCGTTCTGGTGGCGCACAGTTAAATTTGCGACCATCACATCAGTAAAGCGGAATTGCAGCTTCTCAATGTGCTTCTCGTTAAGTCCAGTTGCCTCCACCACGTCCTTCTTGAAGGCCGCCTCCAGCCCAGCACGCTTCTTCTTGAGCACTGTTCCCCACTTGGCGCCACGGAAACGGATGGTGTATCTTGTCTTCCCCGCCTTTGCAGAGCCAATCGTTTTCGGCTGCTCTACTGCGTCAACATGGCCCTCTTTCGGTTCCTCATCCTTCGGCTCACCCATCTGCATTGCAGGCTCTTCGCTCTCTTGCTCCGGTTGTGGTTCCGCCTCCGTCTCTGGAGGATGATCTCCATTCTGCATTGGCTCCTCAGGCTGTGAAGGCGGCGCTGCGACTCCATCAGCTGATGTGACTTTCTCAGTTTTGCTTTGTGGCGTGTTGGTATCGTTGTTGCAAAGGTCAGCGTTCTGCGTATTATCTGGGCCAGTGTACGCAATATGGATTCTCTCACGCACCTCGTCGGGCATCTCATGCCAGACATAGCTGTAGCGACGCCTATGTTCGACGGTGGCCATCTTATATTCAATGGCTGGTTTATTGTGGCCTGTGTGGTCAGTAAACTACGAGAGGAGTATGGCGGCAAAAGGAGAGAGTTGTTCGGCAGCAGCAGTAAAGTGAACCGGTCACCGTGCCCACGCTGCTTCAGGGCAGCCGCATCACACACAGGAAGCTCGAAGGGCACATCAAGGGAAAATAGGACTGCTCAAGGCGAGCATGAATGGGGGAAAGGGATAAGTCGGACAACAGATGGTGCCACGAGAGCATGGCGCTCATTTTACGATAGGCACGTTCGTCACAAAATACTCTACCAGTAACTTACTTTCTCTGAGAAAATCTTTGGATTATTCTCCATTCGGTCTGCGTCCATGCCAGTTGGGTTTGGGGCATGCATCCAAACTCATAAATGAAGGGAAAGGCACACAAAAAAAAAAACGAAGAACAAACGCACATTACCGCTAGCCACACGCAAGGAATAAAACAAAAAAAAACATAGTCATCAGAAAAATGCGTACAGAGCACTAAATCTATAGCATATGGGTGTCCGCTCGGAGACAAGGTTCATGNAAAAAAAAACATAGTCATCAGAAAAATGCGTACAGAGCACTAAATCTATAGCATATGGGTGTCCGCTCGGAGACAAGGTTCATGCCTCGTGGGGCCCTCCCATGCCACGCGGATGTAAGAAGGGTGCCGCCATTGATCCTTGCGTTTATCACTATACTATGTCACCTGGTAGCACAGTTCGCCTCAAAGTGCCACGGTACAGGTGAGCCATATGCGGGAAGTCGTACGCGCCAAGGATCATATGCACACGGTTCACCTCCTCGCCATCCTGGTCGTGGTGCACAAGGAACTTGGCGACGAGCACGTCCCAGTACCCAAACCGCAGATCTTCGATACGACTCTCACTCAACCCAGTTGCCTCCACGATATCCTTCTTTAAGGCAGCCTCGATCTCTTTGTGATGCCTCTTTAACAATGGTCTCCACCTCTTTCCGTGAAAACGCACGGTATGCGTCACAGTACCGCGACCTGTGTGAGACGCTATGTGCCGCGCATACTCAGAGGGCTTTATGCCGTTTCCCATGTAACGAACATCCCAATCAGATTTCAGGGACGCATAACTGTCCTCTACCTGTAGCCCGGGAAATGGTCCCGATTGCCGCCTTGTCTCAATTGGTAGTTGTGGCTGCTGCTGCTGTTGCTGTTGCTCAGTCAGTGCCTGTGGTTCAGGCCCTGTTTGTGGGTTTGGCTGTATACGTGGCTCAGGTTGGAGCGGCAATCGTTTTTCATCGTCCTTGCTGAACGAAACAGTCTGCTGCTCCCACGATCCCTTTGGACCAACGGAATCATCCGGCCCGGACCCGTTCGAATACGGAAGGAAGCGTGCAGTCTCAATCTCAGGCTGCGACCAGGTACGGCTGGTAATGCTCTTCCGACGAGAGCTCTGGATAGATGAGCGCCGACGCACCCAAGGAGGCATTGGGTGCCAAGAGTAGTCGAGGTCAGGCATGAACAATTCGGTGGGCATGATTTAAATTGGCTTCCCCTGTAACCTTGCGTGTTATCTTCTTCTGGAGAAGTGGAATAAGATTAGTGAAGAACAATTTGGGCGGCAACAGCAACAGCAACAGCACGGGCTGAAAGCGCTGCACCAGTAAGAGCGGGAATTATAGGTGTTTTGCGCAGTCATCACACAGTTCATAATGCAGGAAAAAAACAAGAAAGGAGCGTACAGAATAACTTGGATTAAAGTTCCCGTCCGGCAATTGTTTTCCCCCAAGCTTTTCACCATGTTCATCCAAAAAAAAATATATGTTGTTCTCTACCTTCCCGGGCTTTTCACAAAATCAATTCTTACGACTCGCCGGGCTCTGTCGCCGCCTTTGGAAACAGGAAACGGCATAAACGGTGCTGTCACACAATATATATAATGATATAAATATTCACACAGGATCACTCACATATGCGTGGATCCGCACCATGATCCTGAGAGTCTCTTGTACTCTATTGGTTTTACTCTTCTTTGGGCGCGTTAGTGTCATCGGTTGTCGCCCTTTTCCGTACTTGGTTTTTAATGTCATGCCTCTTTACCATTTCACTATGAGCTTCCGTGTTCCGGTTCGATACGCCAGGAGGTGGTGGTCAACGATCTCTCCTCACGTGAACCGACCACATGCGGGTATATGAGTGAGCGCAGCGCTCCGTGCATTCTCATCACCTTTTCGGCGTTGTTCGGGTGATACACGGCAATAGCTGCCGGAAGTAAATCTGCAAACTGGAACTCCAGCTTCTCAGTGTGTTGGCCGGCCACGTTAGTCCCCTTAACCACATCCTTCTTGAAGGCCGGCTCAAGCCCTGCGCGGTTCTTCTCGGGCACTACTTCCTATTTAGCGCCGCGGCAATGGACAAACTGCCCTGACTCACCCATCTTCAGAGAGGTGCTCTTTCTCGGTTGCGGGGCTTAAGCCGTGCGATGCTCTTTTTGGTCCTTCACTCTCAGCTCATCAATCCCCTCGCTACGTTTTTTTTTCTATTTGGTGCCTCGCTTTCTCCTCTTGTTGTTGCTGCGGCAGCCATTGCGCATCCCCCGATAACTCAGTGCTCCGCCTCACCTCCTTGGAATCCTCCCTCACTCACTTGTTTCTTTTTCTTCTTCGGCTGGTGGATCTTTTCTTCCTGGAGTGACGGCTACTCCTCGTGCGGCTTCCCGTCCCGTTTGTCCACGTCAGCAGCGTCCTTGCGCGGCACGCCTTCGGGGTCTTCGCTCTTCGCGGGGGCAGGTTTTAGCCGTGTTGCACCTATGCGCTCACGCACGGAGTCCGGCATATCGTGCCACAAATACTCGTCCTCGTTTTGGTATATCTCTGTCATCGCTGTTGTGGTTGCGTATGAGCGCTGTGTGTCTTTTCCCTCGCCTTTCGGGGGCTGAGGATGCAGGAGCAAGGCAGCACGCGCGGAGGAAGAGGATGAAGGGGGAGGGAAGAAATATAAACGGGGAAGCAGGTGATATACAGAGGGTTTGTCGTCTCGTTCATGTCACACAGAAATGAGGAAACGCAGCTCCTGCAGAGTGCAAGGGAAGCAGTGAAGGCGTCTACAACAACTCCCCTACTTCTTCTTCACAGACACGCAAGCACGCTCCCCTCTCCACACACGCTCTCGCACGTGTGCTCCACGCTTACGCACCACCACCACCACCACCACCACCCACCACCTACACACGCATCCCCATCTCATCTTTCTTTGTTCTGGCTTGTCAAGATGAATCTGATTTTTTTTGTTTCCTTTCGTAAACCACGTTCTGTCCTTCTCTTCCTTCATTTTTGCGAGTCTGCACGCGTCTCTTTCTCCCTCCTCTTCCCTTTTCTTTCTTCCTCCCGCGCAGTGTTGGATGCATTGTCCCCTTCCATTACATATATGCCCCCCACCTCTCTCTCTCTCTCTCTCTCTCTCTCTCTCTGCGGGGTGTGAGTGTGTACGGGTCAGCGGCGGACCGTCGCCATTTGCGGCGGTCTGTTGCGCTCCACCTCCTCCCTGCTGGGCGCCGCGCTGCTGTTGTCCAGCATGGTTGCGATGTTCGCCACCTTCATGTTTGCCGCCGTCTCGCCGGGCTGGAGTGCGCCGCCGTCCTGCTGCTGCCGCTGCGCCTTGGCGCGCTCGTAGTCCATCATGCGGCGCAGAAGCTTGCTGTAGCTCTCGAACCACTGGAACTCCTTTGTGGTGTAGTCGCAGAACTTCCCCTCCGGGTCCATGAGGTACATGATGATGGAGTGGTCGACGAGGTAGTCGTCTTCGCTCATCGCCTCCTCGTCAGGGACGGCGAAGTACACGCGGTACTCGCGTGCCGCCGCCTCGACCTCCTCCTGTGTCCCGACGAGGCCGAGAATGCGCGGGCTGAAGTCGGCGAGGTACTCGCGTATCTTCTCCGGCGTATCACGGTGCGGGTCGAGCGAGATGAAGAGCGGCTGCCAGTAGTCGCGGCCCACCTTCTTGTCGAGGTGCTGCACGACGCGGCTCATCTTCGCCATTTCCTCCGGGCACACATCAGGGCAGTTGGTGAAGCCGAAGTAGATGTACAGCCACTTGCCGCGGAAGTCCTCGTCGGTGTAGCGCCGCCCGTCAACGCCGACGAGTGAGAAGGGGCCGCCGATGCTCGGGCCGTCGGGGCTGTCGAACACCTTCACGGCACGCAGCTTGGGGTCGAAGCGCAGCTGCTCGCGCCGCACGCGGATGGACACCACGACGGTCAGCACGCCAAGCGAGAGGAACAGCAGCGCCCACAGCATCCACGCCGGGTTGTCGCGCGCATCAGAGAGACGCTGGCCGAGCGCCTTCGACGCGCGCTGCTCCGCCTCCTCGCGCTCGATGTAGTCCTGCATCGTGAAGATCTGCGAGTCCTTCTGCTCCGCCACGCGGATGTGGATGGGCTTCGTTGCGTCGACAACGTCGATGTCCTTTCCGCCGCTGTTACCACCGCTGCTGCTCGCCAGTCGCGCCCACACGCACAGCACGGTGACGTCCGGGCGGGACAGAGGGCCGTGAAGTCGGCGGGGACGGCGCAGCAGCGGCAACAACGCGTTGGCACAGCCATGGTGGCGCCGCGCAGCACTACGGCAGTACGCCCGCCGGGAGCACTGCAACGGTGCGGCCGTGACGCAGCAGACCGTGTAGTTTGCGCCGCGCAGCCAGCACTGCATAATCGCTTCCTTCTTGTTCTATTTGCAGAACAGCTGCCACCGCTGCTGCTGCTAGTGTTAATAATATTAACAATAATAATGATAATAGCGATGGTGGCGAAGTGATTGTGCCCTCCACCCACGCACACACGCACGCAGAGTCACACTTTCCCTTCAGACCCGCTCGGTGGCCCCCTTCGGCTTCAATTAGCTGCGGCTACAGGGGCTGTGCGAGGGAGGGGAGGGCGCCGGGCACGCGGGCAGCAGGAGCCGGAGCCGAGAGAAAGAGAGAGAGATAAAACCGAGTGGAAGAGATGGAAGCAAAACAAACAAATCGCACAAAGGAATGCGCCCGCCTATTACGGTGGAAACGAGAACAACAATAGTCCTTTAGAAAAAGGAAAACTCACAGGAGGAGAAAAGCGGCATTCGAAACAAAGACAGATGTGCATGCCGTATTCATATTCCTCTTCTTTTTTTTTTCTTTCTTTTGTCTCTCTTTCTTTCTGTACGATCTGCTTACATAGATACAATCCCGTTTTCTCTCTCTCGCTTCCCACCCCCATGTGTAGATATATATATATATA